GCAAATGATCTCTCAGTTCAATGTTTGTTTGCTTGAGTTGTCATTCGTTCCTGAGCAGCTGCTAAGTTGGTCTTTAACAAAGATAAAATTCGAGTCCTGTCTTTCAAGCACTGATCCACCACATCAATTTTTGTTGTACCAAGTTCATAGAGTGGAACATGTGGTGGTGGCTGTCCATACACTATTTCATAAGGTGTCATTTTAGCTGCAGAATGGTATGAGGTGTTATAGCTCCATTCTGCCCAAGGGAGCCATGTCAACCATTGCTTGGGTTGCAAGCTATATAAACACCTCAAATATGTTTCCAGACATCTATTTAGAACTTCAGTTTGTCCATCAGTTTGAGGATGGAAACCTGAACTGAGACAGAGCTTGGATCCTTGAAGTTTAAAAAATTCCTTCCAAAATGAGCTCATGAAGATTGGGTCTCTATCAGATACTATGGAAGTAGGCATTCCATGCAATTTAAACACCTGATCAATAAAGACTTGTGCCACTGAATGTGCAGTATATGGATGAGATAAGGGTAAAAAATGTGCAGCTTTTGAGAATCTGTCAACAATGACAAATATATCTGATTTACCCTTGCAGAGAGGGAGTCCAATGATCAAATCCATAGCTACATCAGACCAAATTCTTTGTGGGATTGGTAGTGGATTAAGAAGTCCAGCAGGTGCAAGTGTCTCATACTTATTCTTCTGACAAACATCACATCCAGCAATCAGTTCTTTAATATTGTTTTTCATACCCTTCGTGGCCTGCAGATGGAGTACAATGGTGTTCTTCAAATATTCTTGTCTTCCATGGACTTGTAGGACTAACAACAATCCTATTCTTATACTTAAAAAATCCATTATCAAGCTGGTACTTAAGAAAATTTAATGGAATCAAATCTGAGGTTTTGTGTAAAACAGCTTGAGACTACTGTAAAATCCAGTCATCTTTTTCGACATGCCTCCGCAGATCGTCGAGCCAAGACATATAAGGATATGATAAGGCAAGTAAATCACTGTCAAAGTTTGTGCAGTTTAGTGTGACTGAAGCAACATTGCTTTGATCAGTACCCACAACCATGCTTGAAGCCATAGCAATTTCATTACCTGGACCAATAGCTGAATTATCCTGAGAATTGAACATTCTAGATAATGCATCAGCTGCTTTATTGTCACTACCCTTTCTATACTGGATTTCATAATCAAATCCCAGTAACTTGGAAGCCCACTTTTGCTGGAAAGAAGAATTAGCTCGGTTCTGGAGAAAATATTTGAGGCTGTGATGGTCTGTCTTTATAATGAAATGGTTTCCCAGTAAATAGGACTGCCACTTTTTAATTGCATGAACAACAGCTAACATTTCTCTTTCATATGCAGATGTTTCCCAGTAAATAGGACTGCCACTTTTTAATTGCATGAACCACAACTAACATTTCTCTTTCATATGCAGATAGTGCCTGATTCTTTGGTCCTAAAAGCTGACTAGTAAATGTAATAGGCCTGCCTCTTTGCTGCAAAACTGCCCCTATCCCAGTGCCTGAAGCATCACTTTCAATAACAAATGGTTTTGAAAAATCCGGTAGTGCTAAGACCTGAGGAGATAACATTGCGTTTTTCAGTTCTTGAAATGCACCAGTGGCTGCAGAACTCCATTTAAACCCATCCTTCTTAGTGAGTTGAGTCAGAGGTCCACTGATTCTTCCAAATTGAGGAATGAACTTCCTATAATAACCAGTTAAGCCCAGAAAACCCCGTAAAGCTTTCACAGATTTAGGTAAAGGCCAATCTGCAATGGCTTGCAATTTGGAAGGGTCAGCAGCTACTCCATTCTGAGAGACAATATGGCCTAGATATTCAATTTGTTGTTTCCCAAAAACACACTTAGATAGTTTCACAAACAAGTGGTGGAGTTCGAGTATACTGAGGGCAATGCTTACATGCTGCAGGTGCAATTCCCAAGAAGCACTATATATCAGAATATCATCAAAGAAAACTAAGATCAAGTTCCTCAAGTAAGGCCTAAATATCTCATTCATTAAGCTTTGGAAAGATGCAGGGGCATTTGTTAAGCCAAAAGGCATAACGAGGAATTCATAATGTCCCTCATGAGTTCTGAAAGCAGTCTTGTCAATATCTGTGGGGTGCATACGAATTTGATGATAATCGAACCTAAGATCTAGTTTAGAAAAATATTTTGCACCAAGGAGCTCATCCAATAACTCATCAATCAATGGTATAGGGATTGTGAGGAGATTAAGTGCCCTATAATCCAGGCACATCCTCCAAGTACCCTCATTTTTCTCCACCAAGAGCACTGGAGAAGAGAATGGACTATGGCTTGGCCTGATGAAACCTGATTCCAGTAACTCCTTCACACATTTCTTTATTTCAGTTTTCTGGAATGGACCATACTTGTAAGGTCGAGCACTAGGTGGTTTGCATCCTTCCAACAAGGGTATTCTGTGATCATGTGGTCTGGATGGAGGTAGCCCAGATGGGCTTTGAAAAATAGGTTGATACTTTGCTAAAAAAACTTGCAGATCATTATCTTGGTTAGAATTCAACTTAGAATGAGTAGATGGAACTGTGTTGTCTGCACCAACTTGCAAAACAAATAAGGCAGCTCCTAGGTAATGTTCATGGGTGAGTAACTTGTCCATTTGCAAGGAAGAAATGGATTGAGGTTCTTGGGGCTGAGGGCTTGATATGGAAAAAGTAGTGGTGCCAACTACAAACTGCATAATCATTTTATCAAAATCCCATAGTACTGGTCCTAATGTTCTCAACCATTGTATGCCCAAAACAATATCACAACCACCCAAGGGGAGAGCATAAAAATCAAGCACAGTTGCATAATTTTTGTATTTGAATGGAAACTTAAGCTAAACATCCAGTGCTAGTGAGGGATCCCCCATTTGCAATCTTCACAGTAAATGGGTGTGTGGTATCTAGATGACCCTTTAATTGTTTGACCAATGAGATATCAATGAAATTATGTGAACTACCTGAATCTACCAGGAAAATAGTAGGACAATTGAGTACTAACCCACTGATTTTCATTGTTCGGATGGACTTTGGAGCAAGCATTCCATAGAATGCACAAGCGGTTACCTCAGGCTCTTCATTGTCATCAGAGTGATGCTTGATAATGTCTCCATTTTCGTACACATCTATGAGGAGTATTTGTCGTTTGGGACCAGCACACACATGCTCTCTTGAAAACTTTTCATCACAGTTAAAACATAACCTATTCTTCCTTCAAAATTCAATTTCTGCTGCTGTTAAGCGCCTGAAATTCCCATTTCTTGAAGAATTCTCAGTCTTTGGCATGGTGGTGATATCAGATAACTGTGTTGGACTGAATTGAGATGCAGATGAAGTGTTTCTTGAAAAAGATCGAACCTTCAATTATGCCAGTTTGGCATCCACTTGTTGGGAGTAAGCAATGGCAAATTTCCGTCATGGCAAATTTCCGTCATGAACATCAAATGGTCGCAGGATCTTGACGTCATGGCAAATTTCCGGTTTCAAACCCCCGATGAAGTAGCTTTTCAAAAGTCCAGGGGTCATTTCCACCGTGCGATTTGCCAACCTCCTGAATTCCATGATATAGTTTCTGAGTAATCCAGATTGGCGAAGTTTCACCAAATTTTCAGTGCAGTCCATAAGGTCAGATGAACCAAATTCCCTGCAAAAGATCTTTGTAAAATCTTCCCATTTGGGGTAGTTCTTGACGCAGTTCACCCATTGAAACCATTGAAGGGCTTCATTTTCCATATGAAAGGAAGCCATACGAACTTTCTTGTCTACTGCTGGGATATCAAAGTAATGCTCCGCCTTGTAAATCCATCAAAGAGGATCATCCCCTTCCTGGAAGCGAGGAAAATCCAATTTTACTAGAGGTGGTCTTGGTTGAAATCCTGAATCGTGACGGTTGAGATTCTGGGTTCTTGAATCGTCAGGCAGATTGGGGTCAGAGCGAGTTGCATCTGATGAATCTCCTAGGCAACCCATTTCACATTTGTCTAGAAAATCACGATGAAGCTTCTCAATTCGAGCATTCGAAGAATCTTGACGCCCTTCCATGGCATCGAACCTTTGGAGTAGTGTGTTGACAGTGCTGTTTATCGCAGCAAGATGATTCTGCGATTCCATAGCTTTCTTTGTTGATGCACAAATCATACGGCAGCAGAGAAGGGATGGAGAAATCAGTACTGGCTTGATACCAATGATAGATCCCTCGATCAACCTTAACCCAGAGAGGCCATGAGAGGACTCGAAGAGAGAGAATGACAAAAGAACTTGGATATTATTTCATAAACTGTTTTTTGTTTCTCACAAACCCAACTATATAGCAACTTTCCCAACTACTTTCACCTAATTACAGCTATACTAACAACTTTTACAAGTATTACAGCTACATCACTCAGATGATGACATCTGGCACAATCACAATTGCTTTATAACCACTAGTAGCTACTAGAAATCCCATCAGAATCCTAACACAGTGACTATTGGATGCATATCGTATGGTGGTCACATTGTGACTTCTTGTGTTATCAAACTTTATGGAGTTGTGTGTGATCAAACATTCATATACCTACTCATTTCCTTATGTTTCCTTCAGTAACATGGCAACATTTTAAAGCAGATGACTACTGAGAGAATTTAAGTCTAGGACAGAAATAAACCTCACATACAAGTTACCAGAGATGGAGAAATCTTGGATCTGCTTCTAGTCGAAAAAACAATTAAAAAGGTAATATAGTAATAAAGTTAACAATAATAAACAGGATCTTGAAAGAGACAAAAGCTGCAAAAAATAGATGCCAAAGAATAAAAGGTAAAGAATAATCGCATAACCCAGTGCACTCTCTCACATCTAACTTGGATTTTATGTTAGTTTTTCAGTAAAACAGTGCTGATAGAAATCTAATTACTAATTTAACTTCCACTGGGATGACTCTCCTTACCTAGATGTTGAACACTGTCAGCAAAGAATACATATAGGAAATGAGAAGAATCCTAGCTCAAGAATGATAAACATTAGATTTCCTGTTAACTCACACATCGAGTCATCAGGTCTACATCTAAGGAAGCTAATACTTGTGAATACACTAAATACCCAGGAGGCAGATGCCCACATGCAATACAATGTCAAGCATTCTACCAAGGGAATTGCAGAGAAACTTTCCCATTGTAGGGACTCAATATAAGATTCATTAAGCAGTTACCATAGATTGAACCTCGACTGCATTGTCTCTGAATTTGATGTTTAAATAGTAACGGTGAAAACTGAAATGCATGAAAACTCATCAACCAAAACCTGGAGGCACATCAGGGTCCTCATCACTACCATCACATGCCTGCTTGTGCTCCATGTCTGTAGAAATGCCAGGTGCCATTCTGTTATCAACAGAATCATCCATCCTATCTTGTAACTGGTGTGAACTTCCCTTCCATTCTTCAATGGCTCCTTTAACATGAGGTAGAGGTAGTTGTAACGCATCATTATCATTTTTCTGATAATTGCCAGAAAAACAAAATCCCGGTGGTATTTTTGGCTCATTGTCAGACAACTTATCATCAATTTCACTGGCGACAGCAACAACTAAGCCATTACTGTCAACTTTGTATTGAACTGGAACATCACGAGTGGAGGGTTCACCCTCAGCTTCCCCATTTGGGTTAGTCAATTTATTGTAGACGGATTGAACAGTTTCTGCTATTTCACTTTTCATGCCATCACTTGATCTGATTATACCCCACAACCCATCAGATACGTGGCTCATTACTTGATCCCTAGCAATTGGAAGCACACCAAAGGAAAAAAATCCAGCATTATCAGCTCCCCCATAACTTTACATTTCTAATCCTCTGACGGTAACCATTCAAAGAGAGATTGAATAAAGTTTGTAACTACCACTTAGAAGTCCCGAAGGCTAAATATCACCCTTATTTAATCATTTAATTGTAAAATGCTCTTAGTATTTTAACAAAGAGATACAAAACAACCACCACATAAACCTACACAGTCACCAGTCACATTTTAATCATCAAGAGAAGGCGAAAAATTAGTTACGTACCCAACCTCCTGATAAATGTCATCGGAAAGCTGTCTGGGTTTCATATTCTCAGCACCTTCACGATTAAGCGTGGCCGATTGCTTCACAATAGAAGCAATATTTTCTCGCAATTCTTCCTGCGATTAATTGCCCCTCTTTGAGAAATCCCACTCATAAATTTGGTTCAAATTTTCAAAACGTACAAATAAATAATTTCCAACCGTCCAAACAAACTTTCAATCTACTCCAATCCAATCCAAAAGTCCAAACATTGGCCAAATTAAAAATCAAATCGAATATTATTGAGTAAAATACAAGGTTCCCATAATAATTCAATGAATTTAATTAGAAAATTCAGTGGAAATTAGTTTAAAAAAAAAAGAACAAATCAGTAGAAAAAGGCTTGATTTTTACAATTATTAACAAGCACTTTAGACAAATCTGTTCCAGCATTCCCAGCAACAGCAGCCCTAATCATAAGAATTTAGATACAAACAAATACAGAAACTAGCGAATAATCATAAGAATTTAGAAACAAACAAATACAGAAACTAGCGAAATTTGTTACCCTAAGAAAGATGAGAGAGAGAGAGAGAGAGAGAGAGAAGGGTACGGACATTGTTTTTTAGCTTGAGGATGATGCTGCGGCGGAGCCTGTCGAAGTCTCCGTCGTCCTTGAGCTTGGCGATCACCTCCTCTTTGCTGACCTTGTGGTCGTGCGAGCACTCCATTGGATTTTTGCTTTGCTTCTTTGCATCCAAAACCCCTTACTTATTTGCCGCCACAACTTATAAGTTATAGCCTTAAGAAAAAGAACTTGTTGTAAATTTATTGGGTAAATTACATAGGAGCACATTAGGTTTGAAGTTTATTACAACCTCATACAACGTTTTTAAAATATTTGACTTTCATACATCATGTACCATTTTTTTTCAAAATAATACCTCCATTAGATTTTCCGTCCATTGATCCGTTAAGTGCTGATGTGGCTCGTGGTAAATTTTTTTTATTTTTTATTTTTTTTAAATCTGAATATTCTAAATTAAAAAAATAAAAAAAATAAAAAAAGCCTGAAACCCATCCCTCCCCGCAGCCCCCCACCCCCATCCCAACCTACCCACACCTACCTCCACCTCCCCTACAATCCCCCACCCCTCCCCTCACCTTCCCGAAACCCCCAACAACAACAAAGCATTTTCTCACTAAGTAGGGTCGGCTATATGAATCCTAGAAAGCCATTGCGCTCGGTTTTGTGTCATGTCCTCCGTTAGATCCAAGTACTCTAAGTCTTTTCTTAGGGTCTCTTCCAAAGTTTTTCCTAGGTCTTCCTCTACCCCTTCGGCCCTGAACCTCTGTCCCGTAGTCACATCTTCGAACCGGAGCGTCAGTAGGCCTTCTTTGCACATGTCCAAACCACCGGAACCGATTTTCTCTCATCTTTCCTTCAATTTCGGCTACTCCTACTTTACCTCGGATATCCTCATTCCCAATCTTATCCTTTCTCGTGTGCCCACACATCCCACGAAGCATCCTCATCTCCGCTACACCCATTTTGTGTACGTGTTGATGCTTCACCGCCCAACATTCTGTGCCATACAACATCGCTGGCCTTATTGCCGTCCTATAAAATTTTCCCTTGAGCTTCAGTGGCCTACGACGGTCACACAACACGCCGGATGCACTCTTACACTTCATCCATCCAGCTTGTATTCTATGGTTGAGATCTCCATCTAATTCTCCGTTCTCTTGCAAGATAGATCCTAGGTAGCGAAAACGGTCGCTTTTTGTGATCTTCGCTAGATTGCTCCGGTCATTAGTGTGGATAAGTATATAAATGGATAGAGATAGGAAAGCAAACACAAGATGTACGTGGTTCACCCAGATTGGCTACGTCCACGGAATAGAAGGAGTTCTCATTAATTGTGAAGGGTTTACACAAGTACATAGGTTCAAGCTCTCCTTTAGTGAGTACAAGTGAATGATTTAGTACAAATGACATTAGGAAATATTGTGGGAGAATGATCTCGTAATCACGAAACTTCTAAGTATCGGAGTGTGGTATCGTCTTGACTTGCCTTATCTGTCTCATAGGTAGATGTGGCATCTTCTCTGGAAGTACTCTTCCTCCATCCAGGGGTGGTATCTTTAACTGGTGGAGATGCACAAGGTAATGTATCAATTTCACTTGAAGCTTACTTGTAGTTTCAGGCTTGGTCAAGCGCGATACAAACCATGTAGTAGGAGTCCCCCAAGTCGCCGAGCTAGGGGATCTGCTGAAAGAGGTGACAGACAAGGTAAGCAATCAGAGCTCCAAGCAATCAGTCCCAGATGATTGATTTCAGTTCCGGCTGATTGTTCTCATTCTCCCTATCTTGCAGGCAGCATGAAGGATAAAGAGAAGAAAAATGAGAAGAGATGATATGAGATACTTTTGCTTTTGAAGAAGTAACTTTCCACAGGCTTATTCTTGAACTGGGCTGGAGGGTTTTCTGGTTTCCTCCAGAGTATAAGGCCGACTGAAGAATTTGAGGGTCAAAACAAGTCCATCAAATCTAGAGTACGTTCGACCCTGCTGATATGGGATACTTTTGCTTTTGACAGAGTAAGTGGATGTATCGGCACGTGTGCTGTTACGCTTGTCTCCACATGCTTCCTTGTATCCTTCTCACTTGCCCTATCTGTTCCTCAAGGCAGATGCGGTATCTTCCCTGGAAAGCATAAGATGTTGAAGATGAGTACTCGAGAGCAATGCCAGGTAAGTAATCAGGTAAGGGGTTCCAGGCAGTCAGTTCCTGGCTGGAAGCTTGATTCCAAGTGCTGACTGATTGCTCTCTTTCTCCTTGTCTTGCAGGTAAGAACAAGGCCAAAGGAAAAGACAGGGAAAAAGCATGATATGGGATACTCTTGCTTTTAACCCTGATGATATGAGATATTCTTGCTCTAGTATAGCTTGTTTGCAGAGGTATTATCGGGGGGAAAGAAAGCTGAATATTTCGAAAGGCTTCGTTGGGAGTGCCCTCTCAGATATGAGGAAGGGTTGAGCATTTTTGCAGGTCTGCCTGTCCGTTGGGGATGGAGGTCGACATATATAGGAGTCTCCCTAACAACAAGTAGTAATGCTATTCCTTTACCCTGCTTGGTCATAGCACGGTAGTGGGAGCTGCTGCCAGCTTCACATGTTTTAACTCTGTCAGAGCACTTTGAAAAAGTGGTCTGTGGTATCTGGAAAGCTGATGTTGCGTGTGAAGATTACAGACAAGCTTTATCCAAGGAGATCTGGCTCTCGAAGTTGGGAAAGTGGTGCCTCTTCGATTTTCGAACAAGCAATCCTGTCGGGGATCTGGCTCTCGAGATTCGGAGAACGATGCCTCTTCGATTTTTGAGAAAGCAATCCTGCTGGGGGTCTGGCTCTCGAGATTCGGAGAGCGGTGTCTCTTCGATTTTTGAGAAAGTAATCATGTTGGGAGTCTGGCTCTCGAGATTCGGAGGGCGGTGCCTCTTCGATTTTGGAGCAAGCAATCTTGTTGGGAGTGTTTTTCTCGAATGTGAGTAAAGGTTGGGCATGTTTGCTAGTCTACCTTGCCACGAAGCACAGAGGTTGACACACAGGGACTTTCCAATTATCCAGCAGTGGTACTGTTCCTTTACCCTTGTGGGTAATAATATGGTAGCTAGACCTTCAAAATTTATGTGTCTAAACTTTGTTAGTGCTGTTTCTTTGCTATTCTTTTACCCTTCTTGGTCAGAGCGATGTAGTGGGAGCTGCAAGCTTCACGTGTCTCAACTTTGTCAGAGAACTTTGGCAAAGTTATCTGTGGTACCCATGAGCTATTGTTGCGTGTGGGAAGTGGGTGATTGAACAGTAAGATTCATGTGCTTTCTACTTCACCAGAAATCTTCGACAGAATGCCCATAATTTCCGCAAAGCTGAGTGTGCGTGTGACAGGTGCTGACAAGGCTGGAAAAGTAGGTGCCTCTTCGATTTCTGAGATCGGCCCTCGTGGTCTCTGAGCAGCCCAGCTTTTGAGAAAGCAAGCGCCTCTTCGATTTCTGAGATCGGCCTTCGTGGTCTTTGAGCAGCCCAGCTTTTGAGAAAAGCAAACGCCTCTTCGATTTCTGAGATCGACCCTCGTGGTCTCTGAGCAGCCCAGCTTTTGAGAAAAGCAAACGCCTCTTCGATTTCTGAGCAGGCGCCTCTTCGATTTCTGAAGCTCCGTCGAGTGCAGATTTTTATAGAGGCTGGCATTAAGTTCCAAAGCACACTTGAATCTCCACCAGTAGAAGCTCCATTCTTGCACTTCTAAGATCTTGATTTGTCCGACCTCTTCTCTCTTCAACACCTTTGAAAATGTCTGGCCCCTCCGACCGTCGTTTTGACTTGAACCTTGTTGAAGAGGCAGCCCCGCCTTCTCCAGACAACATATGGCGCCCATCCTTCGTCTCCCCTACTGGTCCTCTTACCGTTGGGGATTCCGTGATGAAGAATGATATGACCGCTGCGGTGGTGGCCAGGAACCTTCTCACTCCCAAAGATAACAGACTACTTTCCAAACGGTCTGATGAGTTGGCTGTTAAGGATTCTCTGGCTCTCAGTGTTCAGTGTGCAGGTTCTGTGTCTAATATGGCCCAACGCCTATTTGCTCGAACCCGCCAAGTTGAATCATTGGCGGCTGAAGTGATGAGTCTCAAACAGGAGATTAGAGGGCTCAAGCATGAGAATAAACAGTTGCACCGGCTCGCACATGACTATGCTACAAACATGAAGAGGAAGCTTGACCAGATGAAGGAAATCTGATGGTCAGGTTTTACTTGATCATCAGAGATTTGTGGGTTTGTTCCAAAGGCATTTATTGCCTTCGTCTTCTGGGGCTGTACCGCGTAATGAAGCTCCGAATGATCAACCTCTGATGCCTCCTCCTTCTAGGGTTCTGTCCAGTACTGAGGCTCCGAATGATCCCCCTCCGGTGCCTTCTCTTTCTGGGGCTCTACCGACTGCTGAGACTTCTCCTAAGCAACCTTTGTGAAGGCTCCCTCTTGTTTGTTTATTTTGACTCATGTATATTAATATGTTGGGTATAATAGAGTTTTGTTTTAGTATTCTAAGTTTTGAATTTTTTTTTTTTTTTTTGTCCAGAAGAGTGTACGTTTATTAGTTAAAGACGTACTATCTCTCCATATGGAGATGGATAAGGCTTTTGAAACCCCATGAGAGCTGGAGATAAAGACCATTGGTATTCATGCCGTTGTGTGTGTTATGTGTTTAATGAAAAACTCTTAAATTTCCCTGCCAGTACGGGATTCTATAGAACCAGCCCAACAATCGACATAGCTAAGCGTCCCAGTTCTCAAAGCCAAGCCCTTGCCTTGTGCACATAGAAACTCTATGAGTAGGCTCGTCGAATCAGAAAACAAGCAATACCACCTGCTTCTCCAAGACAGTTCCTTGAAAACATAGTAAACCCGAGGGCCCTTTCAACCCGACAAAAATTTAACTACCAAGAATTTTCTTCAATGTGAAGCCTAAAAACATCACACAGAGAATCAGAATACAGACATCGATGGATAAAAACAATTTTACATCAGAACAAACTAGGCTGCTAAATTGGTGACCGTAAAAAACTGCACCGTTGAATCCATAACATTCATTCATCTAATCTAGGTCAATATGAAGGAGTGGTCGGGGCTCAGTTGCCGATTCAATAACTGTACAATTTAGTAACTAGCCCCAAGAACAGTCCCATCTGGGAAAAAAAACAGTATACATGTACACAACAGGACACAAGGGTTTACGAAAGTTTGAAATGACTTCACTGGATGTTTTGCCACCATGGAAATGCAAAACTCCGTCAGATGACAAAGCTATTATCCAAAAAGACCAAGGGAGGTTGGCTACATCAGTATTGTGATTGCCTGTGGGATGAATGATGAGGCCTTTTCCTTGAGCAGCTGCGGTAGCTTGCATAGCTTAAGTTTCTGCACAGAACGATATATGCCAATGAGCTAGCTACACAAGCATTAACCTGAAACTCAACTTTTAGTTCATCGTTTAAGCATTACAATTGTACTTACGAATCATGTTCCTGCATTCTACTTCTTGATGATTCCTCTGATCTAGAACCCTGCCAAATATGAGTTACTTTAGAGAGACTGCAGTTAAACTGGATAAAAGGACTCGACATTAAGGTCAAAATTCCAGCACAGGGGAATGTTCTACTGTGTTCGCCCAGATCTGTTTCACGGAAAACAAAGTATCTATATTTCACAACAGGTTGTAATTTAAGGTCAAATATTTTGTCGTTTGAGATTTTATTTTACGATATTTTATTATGGATTATGGAATTGCCGGTATAAACTAGCATTTATATCAATGAGAGCAGAGAACAAGCATGCATTCAGGCTTGGTAATCTTTTAACCCCTCATGAATTCCACTTTAACTTGCATTAGCCCAAAGCAGCATAATGTTTGACCGATGCCACGCAGTCCAGTTGGACCTGGAAAAAGGTGACAGCTCAACAGTGCCCTACAAATGGTGACACCTCAAATGTCCCCCCCCCCCCACCCAAAAAAAAAGGAATAAAAAGAAAAACCCATCCCACCCTTGAGGTAAGACAAATATCTTTGATCCCGACACCGTTCATGGCCCCAAGAGGATTGCTCTCTAACCCTCCACACATAAGGTTAATTCCTATGAAGAATTGATAGGGTTTCATAGATTTCTAGGTTTCAAATAAAAAATTAAACACATATGGAGCTATTACCGGTAACTCCCATGAAAAATTTGTTCTTTAATACGTAAACTTGAAAACAAGAAAAAAGAAATATACAACTTTGGCTACGAGAGCTTTTCCAAAATCATAAATCGTGAGCAAGATATGCATCAACTGGTAATAAATTTTAAATATGATATACTACAAGTTTAGATAGTATACTGACAGGCAGACATAATTCCTTGCAACTTCTGCTTTGGGCCTCCAGGTATTCTTCATAAGACTGGTTAAGAAGAAAAGGAAAATTATCAGAGCGGAAATTTCGTTGCATAAGAAACAGAATTATTTTATAATATCAGTAATAAGCTTGAAAAGTAATGTACAATGTGAACTTTCCTTGACAGAGCATTCAGCATGCCAAACAACATCACTCTTACCAAAGATACAGTAAATTAGTTCAGCTTTTCTTGAGAGAGAGAGAGTAGAAAACACGATTGGGAACTATCAGACAATTTAAACCGAAATAAATCAAGACAAAGTTATGTTGGTTAGATCTTTTACCCTCAACATCTTTCCTAAGATGTTTACAAAAGCCTTTGACCAAGAAAAAAACAAAGATGATGCAAAAAGCCGTAAATTCTAACATATACGACAAGTCTACAACAACAAAGTCATAAGTTTAGATTCAAATTATTTTCAACAAGAGTCATCAATAACCTTTCATGTAGAGCTCTACATCTGCAAGGAAGATTTCAAACAGCCCTTCGGTATAAAATGAAGAAATGTGAAACAAAGAAGATAAGTCGAGAAAAGAAAATTGGAAATAATACCATTTCCAAAAAATCATCTTCAGTCAGAAGAAAGCTAGCTAGACGACTTTCTGCAGACAAACCCCAAACAACAAATTGAGATGACAAATTCCAGTCCACTCGTATATATAAGAATCGTATCCATTAATGCAAATGCAACAAAATAACAGACAAATTTCAGGAAGAATAATACCAGTAGATCTCTGATTTGCTAAAGGATATCTATTTGCTTCAGCCTGCTGCTGGTAAAGAAACGAAGGATACATCATGGGTGTCTGGGACCACGATAGATGCATGGGACCCACATTATACTCTTCCTCCCCTAATGAACATGGAGGCTCTAAACAAGGCCTTTTTGAAGGAAAATCATCCATGGGAATACTGCTACACAATAAAATCGAAACTAAACCCTCATGACCAGATTTATAAATAAATAAATACATGCATCTGCCAGTGTTCAGAAATTATTACCCGTTCGGTAAGCCGTGCACATCATCCGTCCCATCAAGAAGCTCACAAAGAACTTCTCCAACATCTGGAGACAACTCCTGAAATAAGACCGAATATCAAGTTAAATTTTAAATCATTCTTCCAAGAAGGTAATGCAACAAAAGGAAATCAGAAAGCACTTGATATAATAATTAAAAAAACCTGGCAGTCTCTGCTAATTTTAACGGGTTTGTACTCATTCAATGGATTTTTGAGATGAAGAGTCTTTTGGAAAGGAAGATCATTTAGCCGAAGCCATTTGACCTTAAAACTTCGTCCCCATGGATTACTTCTACTACTTCCTTGACTCCATACATTGTCTCGTCTCCATCCAACAGAAGATATCATTTGAGCATACCCTTGGAAGGCACCACTCATGTTGACACTGAATATTAAAATTACTTTACCAGAGTTCTGCAACACAACCATATGCTACCCTATAAAGTATCTAGATTGGAAAGGAAAAACACGATATTAAAACATAGACGATCTACATGAAAGGCTTCTTCCAAAATTGGTTCATTCATGACTTGAGTAGCCCAAATTCCTTTCTCAATTGATAGTTGGATATTTTGATGATTCAAACTCTTAATGATGAAATATCTAGTATCATGCACTGTACTTTTTTTGTGAGGTGGAATTCCCGACCTGATCACGAGAATGCTCTACTTCTTCTGATTTAGGTGGATCAACCCCCTCATTAACTTTGTGACTTGAACTCTCTGACAACAAAACATCATATTATTCACGCATCAAAGTTAGAAACGAAAACTGCAAAATGCCTATCTAAGTAATTGGAAAATGTCATTTTTTGGTTAGAATGATGATATTTGGAGACTAAAATTAAACTCCTAGAGTTCAGCTAAACCTGATATAACAATTCAAACTACCAACCTATATACTACTACAAATTCACGTCTTCCAAGAACAACATATTACATATTATATATCAGTGCCAAACATCTACAAAGAGGTCCAGCATGAAAATCATTAGGTGCAACTTCCAACATCAGGTCATAAACTGGAAATATCCTGAACGCATTAAACACAAACATATGATTATCCGAGTATATCTACTACACATGCACAAATGTTAAAGCAGTGTAGATGCGCAACATATATTTTGTACATTCCACCAAAGAACTTTGAAAGCAACAGTTTCACAACAGAGATCTGAAAATTCAGTTGTAGCTTCAAAGCTTGAATCACTTTGCATCCATCACATCGATAATCGTATACTTGCTTGTGAGAAAAAATGGGTCAGTTTACAGTTAACGAGATGCAAATGAATAAAGTAAAAATCTGATTTTAAAAAATTCTGAGAAAAGACAGCACTTAACGAGGATTAGGGAAGGCAAAAAAGCACCGAAGTGACGGATGGCAGGTTCAACAATTATAAATCAAACTGCTCTAATGGACTAGCTCTGAAAAGACACTAACCACAATTATAGCACTTTAATTTATCACTTCCAAACTATACATTGCTTTCCATATCGCCAGTCAACCAAATCCTTATAGTCCGCAATAAATATATTATTTTTTTATTTTATTTTATTTTATTTTATTTTTTGTAAAAACAATCTGCAATTACTTTTATTATGCATGCACTCATCAAAACATTGGTTAGGGCAAAGCATTGTCAACAAAGAGACAAATTTTCAGTAATTACAAATATAAAAGGCATGCTTCAAACTGTTCTTGAACAAAATTCTTCGTTCACAATTTGAGAAGTTCCTGAGATGCAAAGCAAGTGGGGCTTCTACCCACTACATATTTCCCTAAAGCTTCAAATGGCTTATAAATGAAATAAAATTGCACGAGGAGTTGGTCAATTCTCTCACTACTTGGGTTAACAGCATTAGACACTTCCATTACCACCCCACAACTTGGCAACCCTGTCAAAAGAAGGAAAACACAAAAACTCTATTACCTATCAGGCAAGAGGAAAGATGCCCGCATTTTCTAGTTTATAGGAAACAAAATTTCATTAAGAAGATGTCCAATTTTTTCAACACCAACAATGACTACAGAGCAACAATGAGAACCTCAAAAGAGGAAACTTACCCACTGATGTGAAACTATATAGTATAAAGTATAAACATATAAAAACATCACACTAGAGATTATAACGGCAATGCCATAAACGTTTTACGACAATTCCCAGGCAAGACGTGGGATTCTCTATTCCAAACAGAACTAAGTTACTGTCTTACTGAAGACATTATTATCATATATGAATGTCCAATGACAGAGAAATGCAAAAGCCAGATATTTACTGCCACCCACCACAGAGCAATGGAGAACATATGCAATTGAAGTTTGAAATATTTTTGATACACACTGGGAAACATGTTCAAGTACAAAGAGAAGAACTAAGAGCTTTTCAGTATGCAAAACGTAGATACATGGAAATGATAATTTCCATACTCATCATCCATCTCCGAGGTAGCATTAGGCCAACGACTATTACTCTTTGAACATGGGTTACAGCCACAATACCAGATACAGTACGCATAAATTAAATTCATTTGAAACAGCTACTCTATATCAAACAAGGTAAATTTTATCAAGTTAAATGATAAAAAAAAGAACAAACTCGCACTCTTGTTACCTGGATCATCTGAATTGCCTATGTCTTGTTTCCAGTCAGTAACAGATGAATCGACTACAGATGCATTTTCCTTCGTAGTATCACACGACATATCCGTATCAGCCTAATTTGTCATAAACCAGGTGAAATGTAAGCACAAACTAACTCTATGGCGTTCAAATGGTAAGGTCAAATAAAATTCAATGAATAACTTTACAAAGAAACCAAATAAACTAAATCCTCAATGAATAACTTTACTAAAGAAAACAAATAAACTAAATCCATTTGTTTAAGCAGAAACTACCAACTTTTTTAACAATTATTTTCTTTTCATTTTCTCATTAGCAAGAATTTCCTTTGTAGTATCACAAATGCATCATTATTGTCTTTTGGTACGGCTTCAACTCAACATAAGGAATGGTAAAACTTATCCTTTCTTTTTTGCTCAGAAGGCATTTCCACACTTTCAATAAGGTCGTACCCAGTGCACAAGGCTCCCGCTTTAAGCAGGGTCTGCTCCTGTATCTTAAAAACCATTTCCATAATTCTTATCACTTCAGCCGCCAATGATTCAACTTGGCGGGTTCGAGCAAATAGGCGTTGGGCCATATTAGACACAGAACCTGCACACTGAATACTGAGAGCCAGAGAATCCTTAACAGCCAACTCATCAGACCGTTTGGAAAGTAGTTTGTTATCTTTGGGAGTGAGAAGGTTCCTGGCCACCACCGCAGTGGTCATATCATTCTTCATCACAGAATCCCCAACGGTAAGAGGACCAGTAGGGGATAAGAAGGATAGGCGCCATATGTTGTCTGGAGAAGGCGTGGCTGCCTCTTCAACAAGGTTCAAGTCAAAACGACAGTCGGAGGGGCCAGACATTTTCAAAGGTGTTAAAGAGAGAAGAGGTCGGACAAATCAAGATCTTAGAAGTGCAAGAAAGGAGCTTCTACTGGTGGAGATTCAAGTGTGCTTTGGAACTTAATGCCAGCCTCTATAAAAATCTGCACTCGACGGAGCTTCAGAAATCGAAGAGGCGTTTGCTTTCTCAAAAACTGGGCTGCTCAGAGACCACGAGGGCCGATCTCAAAAATCGACGAGGCGTTTGCTTTCTCAAAAGCTGGGCTGCTCAAAGACCACGAAGGCCGATCTCAGAAATCGAAGAGGCGCTTGCTTTCTCAAAAGCTGGGCTGCTCAGAGACCACGAGGGCCGATCTCAGAAATCGAAGAGGCACCTGCTTTTTCAGACTTGTCAGCACCTGTCACATGCACAATCAGCTTTATGGAAATTACGGGCATTCTGTCGAAGATTTCTGGTGAAGTATAAAGCACGTGAATCTTACTATTCAATCATCCATTTTCCACACGCAACATCAGCTCATGGGTACCACAGATAACTTTGTCAAAGATCTCTGACAAAATTTAGACATGTGAAGCTTGCAGCTCCCACTATATCGTTATGACTAAGAAGGGTAAAAGAATAGCAAAGAAACAGCACTAACAAAGTTTAGACACATAAATTTCGAAGGTCTAGCTACCATATTATTACCCACAAGGGTAAAGGAACAGCACCACTGCTGGATAATTGGAAAGTCCCTGTGTGTCAACCTCTGTGCTCCGTGGCAAGGTAGACTAGCAAACATGCCCAACCTTTACTCACATTCGAGAAAACACTCCCAACAAGATTGCTTGCTCCAAAATCGAAGAGGCACCGCCCTCCGAATCTCGAGAGCCAGACTCCCAACATGATTACTTTCTCAAAAATCGAAGAGACACCACTCTCCTAATCTCGAGAGCCACTAGCAGGATTGCTTTCTCAAAAACCAAAGAGGCACCGTTCTCCGAATCTCGAGAGCCAGATCCCTGACAGGATTGCTTGTTCGAAAACTGAAGAGGCACCGCTTTCTCAACTTCGAGAGCCAGATCTCCTTGGATAAAGCTTGTCTGTAATCTTCACACGCAACATCAGCTTTCCAGATACCACAGACCGCTTTTTCAAAATGCTCTGACAGAGTTAAAACACGTGAAGCTGGCAGCTCCCACTACAGTGCTATGACCAAGCAGGGTAAAGGAATAGCATTACTACTTGTTGTTAGGGAGACTCCTATATATGTCGATCTCCATCCTCAACGGACATGCAGACTTGCAAAAATGCTCAACCCTTCCTCATATCTGAGAGGGCACTCCCAACGAAGCTTCTCGAAATACTCAGCTTTCTTTCCCACCGATAATACCTCTGCAAACAAGCTACACCAGAGCAAGAATATCTCATATCATCAGGGTCAAAAGAAAGAGTATCCCATATCATGCTTTTTCCTTGTCTTTTCCTTTGGCCTTGTTCTTACCTGCAAGACAAAGAGAAAGAGAGCAATTCAGTCAGCACTTGGAATCGAGCTTCCAGTCAGTAACTGATTGCCTGGAACCCCTTACCTGATTACCTACCTGGCATTGCTCTCGAGTATTCATCTTCAACATCTTATGCTTCCAGAGAAGATACCACATCTGTCTGAGGAACAGATAGGGCAAGTGAGAAGGATACAAGGAAGCACGTGGTGACTAGCGTAACAGAACACGTGCCGATACATCCACTACTTTGTCAACAGCAAAAGTATCCCATATCAGCAGGGTCGAACGTACTCTAGATTTGATGGACTTGTTTTGACCCTCAAATTCTTCAGTCGGCCTTATACTCTGGAGGAAACCAGAAAACCCTCCAGCCTAGTTCAAGAATAAGCCTGTGGAAAGTTACTTCTTCAAAAGCAAAAGTATCTCATATCATCTCTTCTCCTTTTCTTCTCTTTATCCTTCATGTTGCCTGCAAGATAGGGAGAATGAGAACAATCAACCGGAACTCGAAATCAAACTTCTGATATGGGATTGATTGCTTGGAGCTCTGATTGCGTACCTTGTCTGTCACCTCTTTCAGCAGATCCCCTAACTTGGCGACTTGGGGGACTCCTACTACATGGTTTGTATCGCGCTTGACCAAGCCTGAAACTACAAGTAAGCTTCAAGTGAAATTGATACATTACCTTGTGCATCTCCACCAGTTAAAGATACCACCCCTGGATGGAGGAAGAGTACTTCCAGAGAAGATGCCACATCTACCTATGAGACAGATAAGGCAAGTGAAGACGATACTACACTTCGGTACTTAGAAGTTTCGTGATTACTCAGCGGCTTGGATCTTGCAAGTCCCCAACCGAGGAGCTTCCCTCACTCGGGAACTTAGGGGAGCATTGTTTGTACCATACTTGACCAATACCGAAACTACCGAGCACCGGTCAACGTTACACCGTCAAGGACCCAAAAGAGTTTCTCTCCAACCAGGAGGCCAATCACAGAGCGACAAGTGTCGACATCAGAAGCCAATCATAGCGCGACATGTGCCAACATCGGAAGCCAATCACAACACGATACGGGTCAATGTCAGAACAAGGCTAGAAACTCTCTTCTATAAAAGGAGATCATTCTCCCACAATATTTCCTAATGTCATTTGTACTAAATCATTTACTTGTACTCACTAAAGGAGAGCTTGAACCTATATACTTGTGTAAACCCTTCACAATTAATGAGAACTTCTCTACTCCGTGGACGTAGCCAATCTGGGTGAACCACGTACATCTTGTGTTTGCTTTCCTGTCTCTATCCATTTACATACTTATCCACATTAATGACCGGAGCAATCTAGCGAAGATCACAAACTTAATACTTTCTGTTGTACCAAAGTCCTCACTGATTTGTGCATCAACAATCCTTAAATCCTTACCTTTTTGCGTTGGTAATGGATGAGTTAACAGGACATATTCAAGATGATATTCCTTGGTGTATGCTTTTCGCAAACGATACAGTGTTGATAGATGAAACTCAGGAAGGGGTAAATGCGAAGCTCAACCTTTGGAGAGAAGTGTTGGAATCTAAAGGTCTTCGCCTAAGCCGATCAAAG